CAGGCACAATAGGCCATGTGCCCCTGTGAATGCCTATAGCGCCTTTTGTCAGGATAAAGGCTCCACAAATGAGCTATTGTCCGACTTAACTATTCTAAATCAGGCAAGCCCTCAGGCGCATGTTTTCCACACAATCCAAAGAATTTCTCCTTTCTGTGTGTGTGTGTGTGTGTGTTTGTGTGATTTTGACGTCCTTGGTGACTGAGGCTATGGCGTGGGGCCCTGCGCGACCGTGACGCCGCCCTATATACAGAGTCGTGGGAGAAGTATTACCTGTGCAATAAGTAATAATAAATATTGTCTCATTTATTTCACATTTAACAGGTTTCAGTCATTTCACAGGTTATTACTGTGATACAATAAGCAGAATTGTAAAGCAATATGTATAATTAATAATTATATAAACACTTTACATAAATACTCATGTAATACTGCAATATATATTAATAATTTGGAAGTAAACAATATATCTGTGAATGTAACAAAGAGTGGAAAATAAATCCACTTAGTTCATGCTCGCTAATACCCTCTTAGTTCCTTGCTCTCGCATACCCACTTAGTTCCTTGCTCTCTCATACCCTCTTAGTTCAATGCTCCCTCATACCCTCTTAGTTCCTTGCTCTCTCATACCCTCTTAGTTCAATGCTCTCTCATACCCTCTTAGTTCCATGCTCTCTCATACCCTCTTAGTTCCTTGCTCTCGCATACCCACTTAGTTCCTTGCTCTCTCATACCCTCTTAGTTCAATGCTCCCTCATACCCTCTTAGTTCCATGCTCTCTCATACCCTCTTAGTTCAATGCTCTCTCATACCCTCTTAGTTCCATGCTCTCTCATACCCTCTTAGTTCCATGCTCTCTCATACCCTCTTAGTTCCATGCTCTCTCATACCCTCTTAGTTCCATGCTCTTTCATACCCTCTTAGTTCCTTGCTCTTTCATACCCTCTTAGTTCCATGCTCTCTCATACCCTCTTAGTTCCTTGCTCTCTCATACCCTCTTAGTTCCATGCTCCCTCATACCCTCTTAGTTCCTTGCTCTCTCATACCCTCTTAGTTCCATGCTCCCTCATACCCTCTTAGTTCCATGCTCCCTCATACCTGTCAGCTTGCCGTCTTTCGTGGAAAAGTCTCACCAAACATTCATGCTTGCACATGTGCAGATATTTCTGTCTCTCTCTCGCTGTCCCTGCGATCCGCCTGATGAAGAATTGAAAAGTTCCCATTGTCTCCATTTGAACAAATAAGACCTTATGAATCTGGTACCACGTGTCTCTGATGTCTGTTATCCTGAGGCTGCGAGACACATTGTGAGAAGAAGACAGTCACAAATCAGAACAATGCAGACATTATCAACCGCTCAGCCGGATTAGCTGGAGGGTTCTTTATTTTTTATTTGAAATGGTGCCTTGTCCTGATTTTTTGTAATCATTATTTAACAATTCGTGGTATTGTTTCTTTTCTTTTCTTTTCCTGGTATGCCACAGTTGAATATTCTCAGGCCTCTTTAGCAAACACATCACATTGTTGTTATAAGTACAACCTAGGATCAAAAGTGAAGGGGGTTATTTTCCATGTTTCTGTAGAGCCAACTTGCATGGAGGGGCTCCTCTCAAAGGACTGGAAGGAGCACGTTGACCGCCTCCATGCCGACCAACTGCTCAGGGAGGTCAAAGGTAAGAGTGTCCTCGTCAAGGCCGGTATCCTAATGGACGACTGCAGCTAAATCCAATGATACGTCGAGGTTTATGTGATGGAGGAGAAACAGAAAGAAACAAAGAAAACGTTGTGAAGCCATTCCACCCTTTTTGGGATGAAATGGTTTATCAAGTGTCTTTATGAGACTGTGAAATATTCAGAATAATTGATCTGATTTATTATTCACGCCCCGATGTGTCAAGGTGCAGAACTATTACACTATAAAAGATTAACACGTAGAACCTCCTTTTCGCCGATGGGTCCAACCCTTCACGTTGGGTTCTGGACCAAAACATCTAATCCTCTGAAAAGGTACCAGCTCAACTCTTTATAAAAGGTCCTAGAGGACCCTAAGGACCCTATATGGTTCGAGGACAAGAAACGATAATTTTTGGCAAAAAAAAGAAAGAATCAAGGGCAAGAAGCAGTCAAACATGCTCTAATTCTCTCCCTGTGTATATTTTAGCATGTCTCTGCATATGAAAGCCAAGAGTAAGTGCTGGTCTGACCCAACTGTCCCCATGGAAGGAGCGGCGAAGGCCGGTTTAGACAGTACGGGTTATGATCCTAACTAAAGGGTGGCTGTGGAAGGAGAGGCTCCACATTCGTGAAGCAATAAATTGCACCGAATGTATTTTCAACCTGCCCTGGAGAAAGTGGCTGCAGCAGGAGGGAAAACAAAGGAGGCCTTTTTATCCACGGCACCCCAACATTTGCTTCCACTCTTCCCACATGATGCATATTTTGCTTAAGGATGGGATCAAATTGTCCTGTGATGCTCACTGGCTCGTAGGTGGTACAAATTCGACTTGGTATCGCTCTAAACTAACTCTGAAGCGTACCAGTGAAAAGTTTGGACACATTTTCTCATTAAATTCAATGAGAAGGTTTCTCCAAACGTTGGACTGGGACTGTAAACGTGACAGAAAAGACTTACTGTTGGAGGATTGGTACATTTGAGACGTTTGCGTGCCGCTTTGTTAGACGCTGACAGAGGAGTCGAGCTCCTCTCAGGGAGAAAAATGGAAACCGTTTCCTACATTGACTTAGACTCTCGCTCTCACACACACACACATGCGAGGATACTATATTTCCAGTGAACATCTAACTGATCACTCAGTCTGCCTTACAGAAATAAATAAAAAATACCAACTGTTAAGTTGAAAATACACTTGTTATGATTTCTTTTCATTTGAAAAGTGAGACCGAGAATTTTCACTTTCATAATGTTTTCTTTTTGTTGGATGTTGCAGGTCAAGTGCTTGATCTCTCTTCTCTTAGACATTTCCAACTTAATTTCTCTCTTATAGTTCTTTGTATATGACATAAAAAAACACTCGTTGGGTTATAATGTCAACTGAAAATGAGAAACCCGCTGAATAACACTGTTCGCTCTTTGACTCGCATTAAGTTGGCAGTCAGTTTATATCTTTCTGCTGTAGTTTTTGTTTTTTAAAGCTCACTCAGCTTGTGGGTGTTACAGTGTTCATCATCATACGTTTTTTTAGCAGTTCACAGATTCTCAAATACACTATATCTCAGTTCTCATGGCTCCCATTTTGAATCTTTCATTCGTCTATATTTTCTGTCTCTTCTCTCAAAATCCTGCAAGAAAAAAAAATGAACGTAGCACTTTTCCTAAACATGTTGGGAAACATGTTGCATAGGGCATTGTAAACTTTGATGAAACATATTTATTAGTTTTCCGCCAACACATGCAGTCTTGGAATTTGATCACCTGTAGTGACGAGAATATTGTTCAACTTCTAGAAGGTCATGTGTAGGCACTGATATTGTACAAGATATTATATTAATATCTGACAATATGATGCCTGATGTCTCGTCTGTTGTTGTGTTATATCGTAGCTTCATGGTTCTTTTATTGAATGCTTGTTAATCAGCATTTCTGACAGTTAGAAGTCAGCCTGCATTACGTTTTCCTTCAATGGTGGGACAGAAAACCATGTTAGGATCTCAGAGCTGTGCTGGAGGCAACTAGAACGAAGACAAACGACGTGCTTGTGCTCTACATACAAATGGAATGTATATCAATTTTCTTGAGTGTTAGTTGAAGAGAATAATAACATGCATACATATAGCATGTACCAGTACATGCATGCACATACAGCATCACACACACACACACACGCACACACACACACACACACACACACACGTCTGTGTTGGTCCAGCTGCGTCCCGACCAAAGCGACGCTCTTATTGAATTCTTCTTCTATTTCTCGGACTGACCTAAATTCACAGAGACAACTGTTGCTCTGTGTCTCCTCACGCAACAACTTGAACCTATTGGTTCACTCACAGTTATTTAAGATGACCTCTTTTTTCTTTTCATGTTTTTTTATTAGTTTATAGTTTGCAGCAAATATGATGGGACTTTTTTAATGTATTTTAACTACATGTGTGTCAGTGTTTCACACGTACACATGAGGGAATGTACCCACAACAATAGAATGATTCAATTCTTCTTCTGCAAACCACTGTGTGCTGAGCTGGATCTAATTAATAGGGCATTACATTTTTTTGCAGATATTTTCAATAGGATGGTCTAAAAAGAGTTTACGACAAACTTTTGTGTGTTTCTTGTTTAGGAAATGAGAAAGGTTCTCAGGTGTGTAGTTTGCACTGGAGAGAGCGTGCCACATTTTAGAGTTTCTTTCTTCTTTTACATGAGGTTAAAAAGCAGAGAGGGGCTCGAGTCGGCTTCATGGGCCGGTGCTTCTAGTGAGCACAAAATAATTTAGGAGTCGCTTAAATCAGGCTTCTAACCCGCTGCAACTTTGCTATTTACCTTCACGCTTCTAACTGTGAGCTGTTTGCACTAGAAGTGAATGTGTGCGGATCACATGTGATATCTGGCACATCCTGACACTCCCTGTGAGGTAAATAGGAAGAGGACGGTTTCGTCTCGGGGCCGGTGGGCCGGTGGTTGGAGCGTCGTAGTGTTTGTTGCTGTGACGCTGAGAAGAAGGTGAAGTCATCCAGAGGAAGGCTGCTTGCTGCTCGGATGAAACCAGATGGTTTTAAAAGATGCTTCTTTTGTGTGTTTTGTTTCATAAGTTGTGTTTGTGTAGGTGGAGGAGTTTGTGACTGGACTTTCTCTATAATTATTGATGATTTGATTTCACATGATTGAATTTAATGAATTATCAAGAAAAAAAGATTCATTTTAATTTTCATGTAAAGGGGTTCATACATTCACATACTGTCAGTATATAAATATTCACTGACACATACAGACACAAAAATAAAAATAAGGTACATTTATAATGTATATATTTGATTTATACACTAAGTGGTTTTCTTTTTGGGTTTGTCAAATTTTCCCCATCAAAATGAACTACATAAAAACAATGCTTTTGTCTTCAATGAAGAATTGACAAACTGACAAACAATATAAACATACAACTATTGTGACACAGTCTACTGTAGAAATGCTCTTTTATGAATTAGTTACTTAATATGTTGCGATAAACTGAGATTTCTTTCCCACCGTCACAAACTAAAAAACAGCTGATGCAGAAGCAGCACTCAGCGGCTAACGGTGTTCTCCTCTGGCCGGTGTCCTCAGCAGGTGTCAGGAATAATCCTGATGGATGGAAAACAGAAAGCTTCTGATGGTTATTGGAGCCAGAAACGCCGCGCTTGGAATGCGTGACCCGTAATCCACGAGGATGAACCGTGGAGCGGCGAGCGCAGTTGCTGCGATTACACAATAGGCTTTTTCTTCACTGCCGGAAATGTGGAGAAAGAGGGAGAAGTCTGTGTGTTTTAAGACATGACAGCGTTATAAAGTATCAGTTTTGCAAGAGTGAATCGGTTCAGCAGCCTCAGGGAGGGGTGAAGAAGGGAGGAGATGATGAAGAGGTGGGAAGGGGTGATGAAGATGGCTGGTGGGAAAAGAGAGGAAGGGATGAGCGAAGAGAAGGAAAAGTTAACAAGTAAAGAGAGAGAATGAAATTCAGGGTGGAGGAGATGGGTGGAGGAGAGAAGGCAGAAGAGCAGGGGAGTGAGGAGGGGAGCAAAGGAAAGGAAAGAAGACAGGAGAAGGACTCACCAGAGCAGAGAGAAAAGGTGACGAGAAAAGGAATAAGGAGAGGACATGAGAGAAAAGCAAAGAAGTGGCAGGGAGGAAAGGAGAAGAGGTCAGTAGGAAAGGAATAAGGCGATGAGAGAAGGAGCACAGGGAGAATTTGGATTTGGAAGTAACTGATGGGGAGGTCGTT